CTCCTGGCGGCGTGTGGAGCGGGTCTGAAATCTTTCCCGTGCAGTTGGTGCCGTTGCGCTGTCCTGTTTGCCCCCTTCCCTGGGGCACGGTGGCTGGCTGGAGAGGCCGAGTAGCTTGACTGAAAACCAGGATTTCCCCCTGTGAGTCTCTTCAATCCCAGTGGAATCAAATTGGCACATAGTTGTTATGGGAGGTTTTGCAGCATGTGTTGCTGTGCACACCTGGACATATTTCCTGTCCCTCAGGTAGCTTGGGTTCATCTGAAGGGGAGTTTTCCAGCCCCTGTAGTAAAGGCAGGGTGTCCTGACCTACCCCCAGCTGCAGCAAACTACGTGCTGTCATTTTGGCTAATAGCGGTGGAGCTGATGGTGATTCCCTGCTCTCTGCGTTGCCCGTTGGACAAAGAGCGTCTGCGTGTTCTGTAGGCAGTGACCAATGGGATTTTGTATGGAGCAGAGTCCCATCAAGTTCTCCGCCAGATGTAACTTTAAAGCAACTTTCTTGGCCTCTGACTAACTGTGAAAGAGAAATCTGCACTGTAACCTCTTCAGCCAGCCGCATCCAAGTCTTGGAGTAAGTAGGTGAAGCTTGCAGACGGAGTGACATGGGACGAGGCACTTTGAAGTCTTGTACAAGGCATGTGCTGCCCTGGTGCGCAGGGCTGGGAGTGGGCCTGCAGTCGCTGTTCCACTGCTCTATTTGGAGGTGGCTGGCAACACTTTTCCACTTAAAAGGTACTGGGGAGATTGAAGTCTAATGAAAAACCGTGATTTCAGCCACTCGTTGGGCGATGGAATCCTACAAGGGAAGCAGGCTGTGTTTGTGGGGCGGCAGACAGATTCGTGTGTGTCGTGAAGTGGTCTGGGATCAAGCAGAGATCCCAGATCCTTGTCGCCCTGGCACTGCCACTGTGGATCTCAGGGGCAGCTCCCTTTCCAGCACTGCTGCCTGTGAATGAGCCAATTCAGATGGGCTTCTTACTGGTCTGGACTCCAGCAGAAGCAGAGCAGGGACTTCCTGGCAGAGTTGTGGGTGACCACAGCTTGGACTGATTGAAATCATCGGTTTGAATCTTGGCTGGAGCTTGTACCCTTTGGGCGCATTCTCCTAAAGAGAGTTAGTCTTGTGTAGTGCAGTGACCTGGGGGGCAGGCTGTAACTCTGCATTTTGCTCAGCTAGTAACTGCTGAACTTACAGTTGCTCAGGTTCTTATTTATTGGTAGACTATGGCGAATGGCATTTTTCTCGTTTACTAGGTGATCTGTCTAGCTGTGTTTAGAGGCAGGTGAAAT